TTCATAATTGTAAATAGCAGCATTCATCCACACATGGTTAGAATAACTTCAAGCATAACTTAAGTTAAACAAGAATAGCTTTACGCTGTGTATATTCAGGGAATCAGCGTATCCAACTAGATCTCTTGACCTGAATTTTATAGAATATGCTGCCAAAGCTCTTGATGGAGCATTTGCAGCTCTTCTATCCCAAAAGCCTCAGGGCAAAAATCTATCTCATTAGAGTGGGAATTACTATAAAACTTCATAAACAACCTCGTTAACAGCATGAGAGCTCAATTTAGAAATCTGCAATGTAAGGCTGCTGTCAAGGGTATAGTTATATCTCATGTTAAATCTTATGCCATTGTTACATCGCATTTGCTTTGGTGCCTATTAACTCCTAATCTAGAGCTCGTGTCGCTAACTTTTCGATATCATTGTTTTTGCCATAATTTGATAAATTCATGTAAAATTTCGCTTTGAGTCACTGATTCCGAAGTTATCCTCAAATATATGCTTGTTTCTAAGCAATTGCTTCGACTTTTAGCATTGTCAAAGTTTCAAGGATTACTAAAACGTATTTCCTTATAACACTTTTCTTTGAATAGAGTTTCGTTTAAGATTAAGTTTTTGTTATTTCGTAATAGCTGAAAAATATTTGAAATATTAATTGAATACAACATTTTAAATAAATTCCTTGATAACTTTTAGTAGTCCATGTTTATTAAATAATGTTTATAAAGTGACTATTTCTACAGTTATTTTGATTCAATGCAATTTAGAAACATATAAGCTGTTGATATTGCAGCTTTATAAATCTAATAAAGTAGTTTTTTTATCTAATTTATGTTCATTTTTCATAATTCGAGGGTAAAAATTAATATTCATAAATACTTATCTCAATTTTTCTTTAAGATCTTGATATTTTCCAACATTAAAGTTTTAATAATTAGCCTTTATTATCTCCTATTATTTAGAAGGAATTCTAAGCCTTAAAATTTTTCACAAATTCTTGTATAGCAGCTTAAATTTTTTTGCTCGATTTATAAAAATTTCCGACAGTTTAAAATGATTTTTCAGTTTTAAAATAAACCTAGTTAGTGAAACATGCTCTTGAATTGGGGCATCTCCTGCATTAGTTTATTGCAGCTATGTGAACAGTTATCTTAGAATACACAATATTAAATTATGATTAGATATTTGTTTTTACTTTTGTAAAGAAATTTAATTATTATATAAAATACAATTTAGAGTCATTTTCATTTTTTTCATGAAAAAAAGTATCTTCTATATTGTCTTAACATTTGATTTTTTTCTCTCTAATTTTTATGCGTTAATTTAAATTTGATTTAAACTTTTTGATTTTATAGAATATATTCGGAATTCATATTTTTGAATGCATTTTTTTAAAAATATTAATCTTTAAACTTTCATTAAAAATTTTATTTTGTTATTTATAAGATTAAATAGTACACATGCATTAGTTAAATTAGTATAAAAATTTGACAATTCATTAACTTTTATTTAAGATTTCTACAGTGATATTTGGTGCTGCCATCTATATGGTTTTAGCAAAAGTTTTTAAATAGTCTGTTATAGTTCTAATAGATGGCACTACCAGCAACACTTTAAAATTTTATAATGCTAAGTGCCATCATTTTTCCAAGAAAAAATTTATTAAAAATAAATTATTATTTATTTTATACTACTGACCAAATTTTTGAAATTACTTTTTTTTTGTATTATTACTTGAATGAAAAACAATTCATAATATTCAAAATTTGCAATAAAATCATATAGTTTTAAATGAAGGAAGACACACAGTATTAAGGAAATTAGATAAACTGTGTTGCGAAAAATTACAAAAGAGTAGAGCAAAAACTATGGAAAAATAGCGTTTAATGGGAGAGTGTCGGGCATTATTTGACATTTTTTCTTGCTGTTATTACTAGAAATTTTGAATTTATAAGTTAAAATTCATTTTAATAAAATTGTTTTGTGTTCCGTTTTCTTTCCCTATTTAATCGGTGTGACTAATTGGACAGAAAAAGAAATAAATTTAAATATTTTAAAAATATATATCCCTAAAATGCGTCTGGCATTTATTTTAAGCCATGTATGTTTTAATTTTAAAAAATAATTAACTCCTATATTTTCTCTTAATTCAATTAAAGCTAGTAATATTTAAATTACTTAAATATTTCAAAAAAAAAAGTTCAAACGAATATTAATTATATCATTCATGAGCCGTTTCCCAACTGATAAATCAGGATGATGCAATTTTTTTTCTTCAAAAAAATACAAATTGGGGCTTTGTTCCTCTATGATTTTTTTTGCTGCTGAGAGAATTATTGTATCGTGACTACCATAATAAATAGAAACTTGAACGATATGATAAAATCTATCATATATGCCCAATTTTAAAGAAGTTTGTAGATAATTAGAACAACTTATATGAAGACAGCATGATAATTATCCTTATCCTGAATAATCAGGGTAGAAATTGGTCTTCAGATTATTCCAAAATCCACATATTTTTAGTCTAAAATATATGTTAAAATTTTATTAATATGTACTAAAACCTGTGTTATATATTTTGTCTAAAATATTCAAATTGTTTATTACTACAATTTTAAATACAGGGTTATTCATAATTCTCTCCGCCTGTAAACGCCATTTTTCTTTACTTCAGTGGTACATGTTACTGCCATCTACCGGCAACTGCTTAAACTAAAATTTGAATACTTTCGGAATAATGTCATATGTTCTTTTTTGCCATATTCGTCTTCGTCTTTTTACTATAACGCTTCGAAACCCTGGAGGGAATTATGAATAACCCTGTATATTTGTGTATTCATAAGGCACTGCGTTATTCTTTTCTACATTTATTAATTAGCATGTTTTTTCTTTGCTTTATTGCATCATTCCTACTCTTTGCATGGTATAGCTTAGAAAAGATTTAATGTATATATATACATTCCCAATTTAACGAATATTTAAAATAGTTATGTTTTTCAGTTTTTATTTTAATTTTATAAGCACTTTTAAATTGAAACTAATAAAGATTGAAATTTTCCCTGCACAGAATAAGAAAAGATAATTCATTTATATAAAATGTCAGATTAATTGACGATAAGCTCTTGATACAATAAGTATTGTAGATACATGACTTTAATTAATTATATATTTTTTTTTTACATTTTATTCGCATTTTTCAAAACAAATTAACACATCTCAGAACCCGATATTTTTTTTTATTATTATTATACTACAGAATGTTTCGTAAATTGATTATGAATGATAGGATATACTTAGACCACATTTCTTTTCGTGTCAAAACACGAAGTTGCAACAATTTTTAAAAAATTTTTATTTATTGATGAATGTCTCATGAAGAGACACAAATATTTAAAAGCGTGATAAGACATGTTAAAACTAACATTTTTCGTTGTAAAACATAGTGTAACCTATACATTGAGAGTTCTGTCCCTGAATAAAGAGAAATAAAGAAACATTAGATATAGTTTAAAGTGTAGATGTAAAGGTATTACCTAAGTAAAATGTTTTTCCATCATATTTTCCCAACACATTTCCTTTGTTTATATTCAAAAAGTGATATAAATAGAACGATTCATCAATAATCTAAGTCAGAAGAACACATTATATTTGCTTTGTTTAGTATCAGAATTTTTCAATTGTTTATTTTCTTATTAAGCATTTGTTAAGCTTTTGCCAAATAAACGATTGAAACTAAATTTAAATTTAAATAAAAATGTATTTATATTATAGGTTCATTATATTGTTTCTAAAACATTGTAGTCTTCTCCACTGTTATTGTAAGTGTATGGAAGTAACAGTAAAGAAATATCCACTAACAAATAAGATACAACACAAGCAATGTGCTTACTCATCTGATCCAAACAACAATTTCATATTATAATTATTATATTAAGATAAACAGAACTATCATGCTCCCTCAAAACAAATGCTAATTAAAAACATGTGCTACCCCTTTTTGTTTTTTACTTTAAAAAAATTGTATTTTTTTCCCAAAAGAACGCAAAGCCTAAATGGACATGAAGAAAAATATGAGTATCATATAAAACAATATTTAAAAAAAAACAACCACAGTTTTAATTTTTTTTTCTATTCTGTACTCTTTAAGACTTTGAGAAAAATACGACAATTACTTTGATTAATTTTGTCGTTAAAATTACAATTTCGTCGATAAAGATAAAAAATCATTAGAATGACGCTTATTATCAAAACAACGATAAAACAAAATTGATAAAATATTTTAAGCTCTTCAATTCGAGCCTTTTATTATAATACTGCACTTGTTAGCGTAGATATAGCATATAATTTTACTTATGGTGCTTGAAAGCATGAAATTAAGTTAGAATTAATTTTCTAAAGCATGACATTTTTTGATTTATAAGCATTATGTTTCAAAGAATTTCAACAGCATGTTTAATAATATCTCTCAGATACTGTATTTAGTTTGTACCTATCTTTCTACTGAAAGTATTTGTATTAATGTTTTTTTGTTCTTCATTAAAAGCATACTACGATAATCGTAAAGAAAGATTAAAGTTATTATCAACTAAAAATATTTAATCTGCACTTTTTAAAGCATAAATTCTATCTATATATATTTTTAATATGATTTTAAGCAGAGTGAGTTTAAGTGCTTTTTTGATGTAACAAAGTTTTATTTTTGCTTAACTAAAATTGTAATTATAATTTTTTTTATTAGAGTGATGCGACCCTTTATAAAGCAACCTAGTGTATCGAGGCTGGTCGATCCCCGTTATCGAACGGACAAAAAGAGGATCATCCTGCATTGATATACCTAATTGCTTTGTGAAGCATCTTGTTATTACGCAATAATAATTTATTTTCGTTATAAAATGAACTATAAAATTTTGAAAATTAATATCTAAGATGTTAATAGCTTAATGTTAATTGCAAAATTGTTAATTGCGTGACTGTTAATGTAAATTTGTTTACTTTTCAAGATCATAAGTTCTCACTTTTTCGAACATATTGGCTGGTATGGGCAATTTTATTTGGAGCTGCAGTGAATGTTGATTGCCCAAGAGGTTATACAGCAAGATTCATGTCAAATGTATGGGCAATGTTTGCTGTAGTATTTCTCGCCATATATACTGCCAATTTGGCTGCCTTTATGATAACAAGAGAAGAGTATTATGATCTACAAGGAATTGATGACAAAAGAGTGAGTTGCATGAAGTTCAATTTTTCTGTTTTACTTTACTATTTTCTAATATCTAAGCCACTATAGTATCTTACAAAAATAATGGACGATATTAGGTATTGGTGTTATTTTAGGACAGATTAAGATTTTTTTTTATATCTATTTCCACGGAATATTTTTATGAGTATTTGAATTGAAATAGACTGCATAAAAAAACCATAAAATTTAATTTTTTTATGCTTTACTTTATTATTTTCTACTATCTATATAAGTAGTATATTACAAAAAATAATGAACCACATGGATTCAATGTTATGTAGGAGGTATTTTAAATGATAAAAAATTATTATTTTCTTGATAACTATTTTTCTCTAAATATTTTTATGAGTTAACGGATTGCAATGAATAAACTATTTAAAAACAAAACGTAAAATTTCATTTTATTACGTTTTACTTCACTATTTTTACTATGCATGACAGAGGTATTTAACAAAAATAATGGACCACATTGATTTTCGGGGTTAGTTCAGGAGCATTACAATATGGGAGGATAATGTTGGAATTATCGTAAGAGAATGAGTGGGAACAAGTTAAATTTATTATTTTAATAATTATCTTCAAAAATAATTATATTTTAATGAGTAATAAGATTGAAATATATATATTTTTTAAACTATTTAAACACAGCATTTTATTTTATTTTATAACCGTAGTTAAACAATTGACCCAACTATAAGTTAATAATTTTCAATGTTCAACTCCGTAACCTTGTAATTTTGAACCCAATCTAAAAGACAAGGAAATTTCTGGATCAAGTATTGGGAGAAATTTGCCTACGTGGAGAACTCTTGCTGAAACTAACCCTCATTTGCGTTACATGAAAGAAAAACCAATATAGCATACCACGGCCATCCTGTCGACAAGGGGACTCTAGCTCACGATCCGTCTACCACTGAGGATATTTTTCGCCAGCACTTTAGTCGGTGCGAGTTGGGTGGATTCGCTGGGATTCGAACCTGTGTTAAATCATTGGGTGACTAGCGTTCTATCCCCTGGGTCACCACAACTAAAACGAAGCACTTGAAAAATTCAAGAATATAAAAAATACAGCATCAAAAATTAAATAAATGAAGTACTAAACGTGGTTAATAAAAATATTAAATGGCGCGTGTTATTTATTGATGCTTACCGTTAAATGACGTTGGCTGTTGCTAAGATTCTCTCTTCCAAAGCCACCATAGGTTCATTAGTTCATTTAAAGGGACGATTGTCATAGTAACGCAAATTATTAAATAACTCTCATAGTTAAATGAGTTTTCAAAATTTTTTCAACTACAACTTAAGTACAACCTTATTTTTAAAAATTTAAAATTAACAAAAATTCATTACTCAATATGATATTTGTCATACCTAACAATCTCTTAAAAACGGAACTTTAATACGAAAAAGTACAATTTATTTAATTTCTAAATAGTTGAAATATCACGCGAAGGGATATAACATAATTCTACGTACGTTTTTATCAAAGGGAACAGGTCAACTAATTAATTTTTAAACTAAATAAAGATTTTGATGACAGAGTCTCTAATGTATTTTTTATTAAATTATTTATGATTATATTTTTAGATTTTTAATTGCTCTACACACGGACAAACTGGGAAGAGTTACGCTGACCCTTTCAGACTTTCTAGGCAATGTTCAATCTTTCTACTACTGATGATGAATGACTATCTTAAACTAGAAATTAACTGTCACTTCATGATATTTAAATAATGAAATGAATAAATAATAGAATAAATAAATAATATATAGAATGAATAAATAACCCACCATTTAGATTTGGTACAATACCTAATGGCAATACTGAAGCCGACCTATTATCTGTCACTTCATGATATTTAAAGAATGAAATGAATAAATAATAGAATAAATAAATAATATATAGAAGGAATAAATAATAGAATAATTAAATAATAGAATGGATAAATAATAGAATGAATAAATAACAGAATGAATAAAAGAATGAATATTCCTTTCAGTTGACGAATCCTTTCATACAAGATCCACCATTTAGATTTGGTACAATACCTAATGGCAATACTGAAGCCGTCCTATTAACTGTCACTTCATGGTATTTAAATAATGAAATGAATAAATAATAGAATAAATAAATAATATATAGAATGAATAAATAATAGAATAATTAAATAATAGAATGGATAAATAATAGAATGAATAAATAACAGAATGAATATTCCTTTCAGTTGACGAATCCTTTCATACAAGACCCACCATTTAGATTTGGTACAATACCTAATGGCAATACAGAAGCCGTCCTGAAGCGCAACAAGCCTCATCTTTATACCTGGATGAGAAAGTTTAACAGAACATCAGTACAACGAGGCGTGGAATCGGTGAAGAGAGGGTAAATTTGATCTAGTTTTCTCCTTAGCATACCTGCCAACTTTTCTGGATTTTCCGGAAGATTTTATTTTCATATTTAAAGTGGTAGTAAATATATACTATTTTTTTTCTTTTATAAATTTAATTTTCAAATGATTTTGATCACCACTATTATTACAAAAATTAAGCACATATATCAATATGCGTTACGATCATGGTTGTCAACTTAAGTTTTTTCAAATACAAGGTATTTGTTTGCTTAAAATTGAAGTTTTAATTCCATTTTAATACCACTGGGAAAAATTATAATGGAAAGGATTAAAAGTTGGCAGGTATGCCTTAGTTATATTCACGGGTAATATTGCGAAAATGTAGCTTTCTGTTGTGATGTAAAAAGAGGTAGCACATTAACACTAAAATTTCTTAAAAAACTTTTCAAGCATAAATTTGAATAATATCTCTGCAATGCTTCCTTAGAAATAAATTTCAAACAGAATTTAAAATTTGTAAAGTAGGTATGGATGAAAAATAAAGAGAAGCAACTCTAAATAGTTTAGTTCTCGCATAAATTTGTAATAGTATGCATTTAAAATAACTGTTAGTGTGTAGTTTTGCAACGAGGTTGTTATAAATTTTCTACCATCTCGTACTGAGAGTTCAATATGACAATGATTTGACAAATCAATTAAGCTGTGCTTGCTTAAAAATCTAGGTAATTTATTCATTTAAGTTTCTAAATTTTTATCAGAATACTCGTCCCCAGATGATTCATCTAAGATTTAAGAATATTGTGGAACTGTTTTCAAAATTACCACATATGCAGAAACAATTTAGTGGCGTTTGAGGACCAAATTAAAAGACACCTGTGCAAATATTTCAATCCAGATGGTTTAAAACACGAAATTGTTGCTTTGTCATTCAAAAAAGGAACTTCATGACAATTTTTAGTAGTTTTCTATTCAAAAAGTGCCATCTCATTAAAAATTGTTTTTAATTTTTTCCATTCAAAAGTGCTATTTATCTCATGTTAAATTTTCGTAGTTTTTTTTCATTCAAAAAGTGTCATTGCATGAAACTTTTTTTGTAGTTTTTTGTATTTAGAAGTGACTAATTTTGAAATTATAGGATTAAAATCGTTTTATTAAGTAGAACGAAGGAACATACTTATCTCAATAACTGCACATTTCTATCTCTTTTAGTTTTTCTTGTCAGTTAATTTGTAGACATTAAATTTTTGATATACGGAATAACATTATTCCTCAATGTTGAATGTTAGTTCCATTAAATTGAACAAAAATTTTGCTTTTAAATTAAAGTTCTCATTCCAGATGTATTAACTTTTTTTTTAAATTGCGGAATTTGATAATGATAATAATTTATAAATTTTGCTTCGTCGAAATCGAAATGGAATTAATTATTTTTCCTCTTTTTCAGAGAGCTCGATGCTTTTATTTATGATGCAACAGTGCTTGAGTATTTAGCTGGTCAAGATAATGAGTGTCGCCTGTTAACAGTTGGTACATGGTATGCCATGACAGGATATGGATTTGCTCTGCAGAAAAAATCGAAATATTTAAGCATGTTTAACAGAGAAATGATTCGATACAGAGAAAATGGTGAATGTTTCATTGAAAATCGAATAAACTTCTTTTTTTTTCTTTGACTCACAAAGAACCGAAAATATTTATCAGGTACCGGTTGTCCGCAAAATGATATGCAAATGCCATTTGAAGAGTATATTAAAATCAGAAAATAAAAGAACTGTTTGTTGCATTTAAATAAGGAAACAAAAAAATACATCTTGATCAAGTTTCATAATCAGTTTCTGTTGATGAACAATGAGTAACGTTTTTGAAATAACCGCCATTTGTAACATTCAGATGGGGTGTAGTTTAAAGGCGACTAATAGACGATCCGGCAAATAACTCAGTTGGATACAGCAGGAAAAAAAACTCATTTTATAGTGCCTCCCGTCAACTGTGCCGTCTATTTACAAACTGTGTAAATAAGTTTGAAATATGGTACGATAAAAAACTACTGTGCTTTTTGGTGTTCCCAGAAAGCAAGAAACATGACAAATTTTGCCAAGTTCTGATAGTTTTACTCATACTCTTTTTCCTCAAACGAGATAAAGAGATTAAACAATCAGAAAGAGTAAAAAAAATTAATTTTCTACTCTTTTTTGTAAAAAAAAAAAAAAAAGTAAAGTAAATTATCTTTATTTATTTTTATTAACCCTTCTTTATTTTTATTGTAATATGTGTGAGAATTTTCTTCTAACTGGATAAACGCTGTATGGTGAATAAGTCATGGTTGCTACGGATGAGTCCATAAAACATGTTAGAAATAAAGTTTTACTGTCAAGTTAGAAGAAGTAACAATTCAGAAGAGGTTAAACAACAGTACGCTGTGTGAAAAAATTATGGTCAAAACTACTAGAATATGGTAAAACTCACCACGTTTCTGGTTCTATGGGAATACCAAAAAACTTGGTAATTTTTATAGTAGCGCATTGGTAATAATTTAGATAAAATTAGCAATAAAATATGGCAATAAAACCTGTAATAAAAAAGACAATTTTATCATACTACCTTAGAGTATGGTATAAATACATTTACTACTCAAGTTAAATTAACTTTTTCAGTTTTGTATTTTTTACTTACCGTGTAGTAAAAACTGTAATTTTGAAAACCAGAATTTCCGGTAAACCGCTGCCATATGAACTGGAAATTTAACAAATAAATGATTTAAATATCGTATATTTTGATTTTTATTATTTTATCGTTCATTTTGATTTTTTTACCCTAAAAAGTCATTACAAAACAGTACCGTAATGTTACAAGAATTTTTCTTCTTGTACAAGCCATCAAAACATAATTGATAAATTTTGATAAGAGAAATTTCAATTAAACAAGAAATATATTTATCATATACAATTATAATTAATGAAACAAGAACAATGTGTAAGATTTTAATGTTCTCATACTAGAGGTGCATTCTCCAACAGAAACTAGGCGGAGTACGCATCATATATGTTGTAAAAATAAGCTTTTTTGAGCAGCATTTACTACTTATAAAATCTAATTTTAGTCAGTAAAAAAACTTTTTTGACTTCTTATTTGCATAATTTTTCAATTCTATTTAAATTGCATGATTTTTTATTATATTGAAAAATTTAGAAAGTTAGAGAAAAAGAATATATCTTTCTTCGTGCATCAAATTATACGTTTACGTCATAAAAAATCGTTTTAAAATAAAACCCAAAACGTGCAGATGTTTTAAAAATTTTTCAAAATTAATAAAATGTCATCAATATAATATTAAAAGATTTTGTTTTTATGTATGTTACACACTTACATAATTTCTTGAAGAATTATAATTTTTTTCTTAATTTTTACCATAAAATCGCGAAAAAATGTCATGTTAGGCAATCACATTATTTCTTATTTGATATGAAGTACTTTTATCCAAAGTAAATGAATAATTGGCATTTTTATTCTAGCCGATTAAGATCGTTTTCAATTAGAAATACTTTCTCTCAAAATTTTTGTATATTAATTCAATATATTCTCTTTAGGTGACCTTGAAAGGTTACAGAGATTTTGGCTACAGGGTGCTTGCAAACCAACAAGAAATAAACGCAATGTTAGCAAACCTTTGGATGTAAACCAATTTATGAGTGCTTTTCTGCTGCTTGGCTGCGGGGTGTTGTTTACAATCCTCGTCTTGATACTCGAGCACATTTATTTTAAGTACATCCGCAAGCATCTTGCAAAGAAAGACACCGGTGATTGCTGCACGCTTATAAGTTTGGTAAGAGCCTTTTATGAAATAATTTATTTCTATTATTGAACTAGACAAAAGTTAATTTTAAGTTCACAGATCATTGTGATATAGAATATACACCCATTACATTATGACCACCCTCCATCTATAACAATGGGCTCGCCCAGATTTTCCTGATTCCTCGCCCAGGAACAATGTTTTCATGGGGAATATTAGGACCCATAATCTTCATGGAACAATCCCTGACGTCTGTAAGCAATTTAAACATAGTTGCAGACCAGGTTCACACATTCATTATAACAGTGTTTCCTGCGGGGATGGTTTTAACCGACAGGATAATGCACCGTGTCAAAAAGGTCGAATCGTCGAGGAACATTTCAGTGACTTTCAAGTCATGTCTTGGCCCCCAAATTCACCTGACCTTAATCAAATAGAGCATTTGTGGCCCTACTTGGAAAACATAAATGAATTTGAGAGAGGGCAGTCGTTCTCGTGGGTGGCTCTGAAGTCTATATAGTTGTGGAAGAACAGTTCTTGAAAACTGCATCATAAATGCGAATTAATTGCACCCGTACATGGCGTCTTTTTTTCAACTGGAAAAGGAATCTTCAATTTCAAAAATGAACCTCAAGCAGTTGCTTTCAGCAGGACAACGCCTCAATTAACAAGGCGTGAATTGTGATGGAATAGTTCAGAAAGCAAAACGATAATTTCAAATTAATGTTCTGTCCACCCAACTCACAGAATTTTTATCCGATAGATCATATTTGGGATGTCATAGAAAAAGAACTCAGAGTTCAAACACTATTATGTCAGAATATTCCAACTTTTTTGCATGACCTCTGCTCAGATATTTGGTGCAACCTGTTTCCACTTATCAACCAAGAACTTGAAATATCTATGCCGATTGGCAGATATTTTGAAGGCAAAGCAGGTGCAACGAGATTTAAAATAATTTATTCATAATGTTTTAGCTCTTCAATGTAGTTTTGTTCTTCTATTTTTTTTTCAAGTCAATTTATGTTTTTCCGACAGTTGTGTTTTAGTGACACTGATCTCTGATTATTAATTTATCACTATTCAGGGACAGTATGTTTTTGTGATTGATTATCTTAATTGTGAGCATTATTAGTTATTTATCTTAATTAAAGAATATCATTCAAAAGTGAAAGTCTTATCGTTAGACCGAGTTCCATTTTTTTCATACATGTTTTTTTTACGAATTTTTTAGTGACTCAAGTCTAACGAATTTTATAAATTATCTAGGGAAAATTTTTATGACTTATTTTCCTGATGCTGATTAAGGTAACGTCAATTCACTTACCTCTGTTTACGGGCAAACCCTTGATGATCATCATAGTTAGATAACCATTAAGAATATGTTTCTATCGGGATGGGGGAACACGCACTGTCCAATAGTGGTAACAGCTAGTCGCCTTTCGCAACTACAAAATTGCGACGTTTGACTGTTTTATTCTATTCAAGGAAGTAGTTTAGCCTCTGGCTTGAGCATCTCTATAGTAAGCATTAATAATTATTTAGCGTTAGTTAAGTGTGTCACTTAAATTATATTATTGTAATCTCTCAACACAAGAAAGTACGAATTTTAAATCTAGTTCAGTCTTCCAATTATTTTTTTCCAAGCATTTTTTCCGTTGATTGTTTCAGCGACAGGTTTCTAATGATTGCTGTACCACTATTCGTGAAAAGCATGCTTTGAGGATTAATTATTTTAATAATAATCCTTAATAATTATTTAACCTGATTTAAGACTATTTTTCTGTCAATAATGCTTTATAAAAGTCCAAGTATATTTTTACACTTACATCTAGATTTGTTTTTCGATTTTTTTTTCTATTCATGTTTTTTTAGATTTTTATATTTTTAAAACAAAGGACGCGCAGAATTATTTTATATTTTAGATAAAATATTAATACTAAATGTATTTTTTTCTACAGCTAGATTACATTTTAAACTACAGAACTTCATACTGTACACACGAATAAAAATTTGAAACGAAGAAACGATTCCTATACATTTCAATTTCTCTTCTTTTCTTAAGAACAATGAATTTTATATTTAAAAAGAAGATCACGCTGAAATTAATCATTTCAAAAATAAACCCTCGACTCAAATTTTATTCATTGTCTTTTTTTTCTTTGTCGCTTTAAAGCAAATCATCTGCCAGAAAAATTCATTACACTATCTCTATTCTATTCAATTGTTATTCAAAACATATCCACAGTTTTAAAATAATTTTGCTCTGCAAAAATAAAATTTGCATTTTATAGCATAGCATTTCTGAGAACAGGAAAATAGGCAAACTTTATTCTGCATTTAGAAAAGCTTTCTTAGTTGTTGGGGAAACTAAATTAACAATTCTAAAATAGTTCTTTTCTTCTTGAATGAATTTTGTTTCGTACCTATAAAATTTTCATCAGCTTGAAAAGATAAGTTTCGAGCTATGTGATAGAGAATGCATGGGGTAAATGTAGATATATATTTTGACAAAAAAAACTAGTATTGTTTACTTCTAAATTTTAAATTTATTTATAAATTTTCGAATGTGAATAGGAAATAGATGAATAGACCTCTAAGATAAAGGGATTGTTGACGCATATAAATAAGGAAACAAGTTTGAGAATATATTTTTACAATTAAATGCATTAACCAATACATCAATAGGGTATTTCCGTTGAGTTTATGCATACATATTATGAAATATTACTTTTCAGAAATTTGATTCTGCTTTTTTTATGTTAAGCAAGGGAGACTATTTTTTATTAAGTAACTAATCCTTTTTTACAATTTATTAATTGCATTTTGTTCATTGAAATGAGTCCTATAGCACATGTTAATTTTGTAAGTATTTTGAGAACTTCTTCTAAGTTCATAGATTTACAATATTCAATTTCTTTTAATACCTCATTATTAAAAATTAAAATTTAGTGACTATGTTCAATAGAGTATATTTTTCTACATATGATAAGGTTTGTCTCCTATTGTAGTCAGATAGTTTTGTAGACATTATCATTGATTTGAAAAACCACATTGAAGGATTCAGTTTTTCCTCACTGAATTCCGTATTATATTAATCGTCATCAGCATAAAATTAATAAAAGTCATTCGGGTATTCTTTTCGGCACTTTTCAGTTTGCAAGACGCAAGCAAATTAAACCATTTTTTTTATTTTATTAAATTCTCATGCTTTTAGAAAATAAATAAAATTTAAAAAATTATCGGTCAGGGTCTACTTTTTTGGAGACTCGAAAAGAATCTTGTTTTTTTTTCGTTTTTTTTTAATAAAATATTTTTTATTCCAAATCAAAAAATATTTATCTGTATTACTTATATTTTTATTTTTCTATGCTATTAATAAATTCTTGATTTTGATTGTTTTCTAACATACTCAACTAAGCGCTTAAAACTAAAAGATATGTTTCTTTATTTTATAATATTACCTTATAAAGTTACATTTCAAGATAAACTTACTTGAATTGGGGCCTAAACTTATTACACGTTTAACAATTTGTGTTTTTGATGTAACTTACACTATGGAAGGATAAATTACCCTAAAAAAGATTCGTAAAATGATTTTGAAGTTAACGATCAGCTTCATGCTCAATGTGATGATGCATTCAAAATTGTAATTAATATATCCACATAATTGGTGGTCCTCTGCAAGCAATGAAACTAGTATATCTATCCTGCTCAAAATGAAAAAGATTTCTCGGCACCATGACGTAAATCTACAATGGATTCCATCACATGTGAATATTGGTAGCAACGAGATAGCAGATAGATTGGCCAAAAAGGGCAGTGAGGAAGATATATCCACCGGGTCATCACTTTCTTATCAGAAACTTTACTCCAATGAAAAATATAGACAAAAATCAACCTGACAAACTCCACCTACGCACCAATGGTACACCGCAACATCTCCTGTCTCCCTTCTGGGAATCATTTGTGATCGAAGCTCCGAGACGACCTTGGTCAGATTCTCAACTGGTCACCTAAATTCGAACGTGGCACAAACATTTACCCGACTTGTGAAAAATGCTGTCTCCATCCAGCCTCACCGAAACATATAATTGATTGTGGTGGACTATCCAGGGCGGATTTAACTTCCGGTCCCCTTCTTGTCATCGACATTCTGGCTGTCAACAATTTTTTGGAGTTGATCTGACTAATGTCAGATCTATGAGGATACGCAACAACAACAACAACATGATTGGTTAGCTAAGACATTAAATGAGGGCCGTAAACTCAGCAAATTTGTTATTACAATAAATCTTTAATTCTAAATATGATTTTAAAAATGATTATTGAGAAAAATCATTTATGTTCGCTACTAGATCTTAAGGAATCCTAAGGGGAATGTTTGGAAGTGGAAAGAGTAAGCAAATAAAATTCTTTTTAATATGTATGTAAATGAATGGCTACAAACTTTCGAAGAGAAAACTGCTTTGCGCCAACGCTATGAAAATTTCCTCGTAAACACTCAAACACATTGTGTGCCGATACTTTTTACCATAAAATCTTATTTTGCCGTACAATTTTACGGAACAAAAAATCTAATATAGTGTAATTTTTACATACAGTAAGATGTACTGTGAAATCACTGTAACTAAATATATATTTTTGCAAAAACTACGATAAAAAAATTTACGGTAAAAATTTATAGCATGGTTAATTGAATTTTACGGATACTGCATTCAAGGTGGCTTTATTTTTTATCGTAATTGTATCCGCAATTTCTTACAGTGAAGTAAGAGTTATTATTGGGTAAGTGAGCTAGATTTATATTCACTATTAGATCTTTATAGAAACGAAAGAGAAATATTTTTACGTGCAAAACGTAAAAAAAAAACACAATTCTTTTTAGTACTTATATAAATTAGTAGTTCCAACTTTCGCATGAACAGCTGTTTTATAAAAGCACTGTAAAAGGGACCTGCTCGCTGTCGCTCAGTAACTCCCAATAACATAATTATTGGAGGTTTAAGAGTGATAGCAAGAAGGTTGTGGAGCCTTATAGTTAAGAAATAAAATGAATCAAAATATTTTTAAAAAAATTATAATTACTTGTAAAATAGAAACCGAGTTCTTGTAATTCTCTGTAAGATAACAAAGAGGAAGTATAATTATTTTTCTACCCGAAGTGAATTTTTAGCATATTTTATTATTGACTTAATACCCAATATCAATTCACTTTCGATTGGAATGTGTTATTGCACACATTGATAGATTTTATGCAAAATAAAATTTAGTATAAATTTTTTTTCTGTAATTTATAAAAGTGTTCTTTTTTATTAATTTATTATTTCAATTTCTTGGAATAACATATTCTTTTGTATTTCATAAAATAATATCTCTTTCAGAGCATGGGAAAATCATTAAGCTTTCGGGGTGCGGTATTTGAAGCAACAGATATGATTAAGCATCATCGGTGTAAAGACCCAGTGTGCGATACCCAGCTGTGGAAAACACGGCATGAATTAGACATGGCTAAATTGAAAATTCGGCAACTGGAAGCAAACATACAAGGAGCACTTTTATCGCCGACTTTTAAAGGGTATTCGACACTTTTGGATTATAAAGCTCACATTTTTTTCAGATTTCATAATTTCTTTTTAAAAAAAGTATAGATATTTTAATGTTATGTGTTTAAACAATATTCATATATCATAGGATATCAGTGCAAACGTTTATTTAAAATGTACAACATACTAAATAAAATATACTATGTATGCTTAAACAAAATTTGTGTTATACATAAATTAATTGCAATCTTTCTATAAGTCAGACCAGTGCTATAAGAAAACACATATGATACTAGTCCATGGATGGCCAACCTGTTTGGAAAATGAGGAGTGGATAAAATTTTATTTTTACGTAAACAGCATTGATCCCCTATATGTCTGAGTAACGGATAATTAAAATAATGTTAGAAATAAAGCAAATATACAAACTTAGATTTTATTGTTGGTAAACATTTCAAACGGTTCAAATAGTATGGTTATAAAAAATTAAAAAAAAATAATAGCCTGAAGCATTAATTATCAAATATTATGTGCTTAAATAATATTTTACAAGATTTGACAAAGTTCCCGTAGACGACGTTATGAATTTTCAATTTATTTTTGAATAAAACCTCACGTGCAACTAATTAGTTAGGCTTTAATATACAATGGCACGCTTGCCGGGATTCAGCCACCCATGCATAAGACAAATCTATTTGCTCTTATTGTATTTTGAGAAATGATTAAATATGATGAGCCTTTTGACTTTTGACTAAATATGATCAGCATTTCATGGTAACAGTTAAAATTGTTTAGAATTTCAGATGATGACATCAGAACTAACTTGAACTGCAAGAACTTCATCAGTCAATAGTATTACAAATACTTAAATTTCTACTTTTTGAATAAAACCTCACGTGCAACTAATTAGTTAGGCTGTAATATACAATGGCAGGCTTGCCGGGATTCAGCCACCCATGCATAAGACAAATCTATTTGCTCTTATTGTATTTTGAGAAATGATTAAATATGATGAGCCTTTTGACTTTTGACTAAATATGATCAACCTTTCATGGTAACAGTTAAAATTGTTTAGAATTTCAGATGATGACATCAGAACTAACTTGAACTGCAAGAACTTCATCAGTCAATGGTATTACAAATACTTAAATTTCTACTTTTTGAATAAAACCTCACGTGCAACTAATTAGTTAGGCTGTAATATACAATGGCACGCTTGCCGGGATTCAGCCACCCATCCCATGCATAAGACAAATCTATTTACTCTTATTGTATTTTGAGAAATGATTAAATATGATGAGCCTTTTGACTAAATATGATCAACCTTTCATGGTAACAGTTAAAATTGTTTAGAATTTCAGATGATGACATCAGAACTAACTTGAACTGCAAGAACTTCATCAGTCAATGGTATTACAAATACTTAAATTTCTAGTCTCTCAGAAAGTTATTCATAACACTTCACTTTTCCCTTAACGGATTTACCACATATCTATACAATCCAATAACCTTCACCCTCTCATAAATTAAATTCTCAATTTTCAGGAATCAGCAATCGAAATCCGTATTTCGTTAATTTTGCGAATCATTTCGTCACGTCATTCGTATTTGGAAAAAAAGCGCGAGCTCTGAAATATGTGAGGAAAATGTTGCCTCAACTCGAAACCTCAGTGTGGAGCAGTGCGGAAGATAGTAAACTAGAATTACGAATCTAAAATAAAGTGGCAAATTAAGCAGACCGGCCTGTTATGTTGGTCAAGGAATTAGCCTCGTACCTGGAAGATCTGAAGTTCATATCTTGTTTCAGGCGTAGGTGTAATTTATCTCTCTGTTCAACATGTCCTTGTTGTTCCATCTATATGGCGGCCATGTAAAGATGATGTTATGCCCGCGTGAAAGCTATGCTCGGAAACGATTTCGAGGAAATGATATACCAGGAAATGATTTCGTCTAAAACGAAGATAACTACGTGATATTTGAGTATTCCTTTTTTTGCAGCGCAGCATAACAATTCAGAGATAGCGAACTAACTCACGAACAGTTCGAAAAATGTAATGCGCAGATCTTCTGATATAGTCTCTCATGGCTATCATACAGCTGAATCAATTTTTTTGCATAAGACCAGGGTTTAAAATCTGTTGTTCCAGATGGTATTTACTACGATGAAAATTATATATGAAATGAGCACTGACTTCAACTGCAGTCGGTGCTATTTATGTTGGCAGTTTCAATCCCGGAAAATAAAAAAATAAAAATAATCGAAAATTCTTTTCCTTAATAACTTGTTTCTGAAAGAAAAAGATGTTTCATGATTATCAATATTATTTAACACGCTGAGCGCCACGTCAGTCACCGGTGGCTGACACTGAAATTACATTTAGGCCGCGTCAACCACCGGTGACTGACACTGAAATTACTTTTAAGCTGCGTCTGCCACCGCTTGCTGACATTGACCTTTCACACAGGCCGCGAAAAACAACTGGCTGACAGCGTATAACATGATAGAGAACTATAAAATGTACACTCTTTTATGGAATTGCAGAAAATTAACTCAAAATTTACTTAATTATTGTGATTCTTGGTTTAATAAATTCAATTTAGTAGATTTTTATCCACCACTATTTCTACATGATTCGTTGGCTTATATAACTCACCACTTTTGTCAGATATGTCATGCTAAACCTTCTAAAAAATAGCAAAATCAGTCTAATATCTGCAAATTTTTTTTTCAATGGCAGGCACTGAATTTTGAATCTTTGCCTATGAAGATGCCGGAATTGTTACTCATTTAGCGTTACCCAGTGGGCACCTGAGAACCAAAGTCACGGAGGCGAGCAACGTAGCCTACGCCACACTGCCTCAAACCCGTTTATAGGGTGGGCCACATTCACACATCACACACATAACAGAGGACAGCACAAAGAGAGAGAGAAACGTCCATGCTCAGAGCGGGTTTCGAACCTGCAGCCAATGGCTTCGCAGTCAGGAGCGCTAACCGGTGGGCCACCTGGCCGGCTATTTGCAAATTTAGTTTGTAGTTATTTACCGTGACCAGATGGGCAAGCCATGTAAAATTAGCGTGGCTTTCAACATGTTAACAGCTATTTTTAACTCATGAAAAACGGTCTTGTACTTATTTTATAACTTTTTTAATAAGGTGTAGTGGCCTAGAATTTTTATTTCTCCCCAAAACAAGCTACGTATGGAACGATTTTACAATCAGCACTTTCTCTTTTCCAGAAAATAAACACTCCTGATTTGTGTATTTCGAATAGTTCAGGCCCGTACTGATATCAATTTTATTTCTTTTACGTGTAGAATTGTGCATAATTTTGTTGTAACAACTGTCGATCATCTTTATTCAGAATATTATCTTGCTTCATTTATAAAACGTTATTATATTTCAGATCATGGTCACCTGATTACGCTAAGCCAAGAGATCTCACTCAAAATTTCATTGTATGCAACGAACCACGGATTTCTAATTTTTCACTGCCTCCAGCATATAGAACTCATCCTCTGCACCCATATGGCCCACATTACGTAAAAAACTTCAACAACATGGAAATAGCAGAAATTGAAACTGTATTATGATCTTTAAAACACACCAGCGTTTAAATGTAAATACGCTTACTTAACAATTTCTACTGAAATGTTTTGATTTCAGGCTTGAACATACAGCAAGAATCTTAACTATTTTTTTGCAGAATACTTAATTGATATTTTTTGTTTTATGTGAAATATTTTGCATTGAAATACAACAAGAAATTATATTATGTTACACAAAAAATCACTATACTTCTAAGAAACTGTAAATACTGCTCAAAAGTACTAGGTACTAAAAAGCAATACTTCCTAAATTTATAATAACTTGACTTCGTACATGAATATATGGTGAAAAATTTCATTACAATCATCTCTTAGATTTTTGCCTTTAATTTTTACTAGATAATTCGAAGTAATTAATACTTTTCTTGTTAATGATTTTTATATAGTTTTTATAAATATTCTTCACAGTGTATTTCGTATGGTAAAAACGGGAGAAGGTTGTAATTTTCAAAGAAAGCTCGTGTAAAATTTATTTATTTAGCGCCAAATAATTTTGATTTCATAATGAAAAAGTAATTTTATCTTTTTGTTACAAAATATGAATAAATTAACGTATATACTAGATGAAACAACTTTATTATTATAATAAAATTAAATAATTTTGATTTAATAAGATGTTAAATGGACTTAATAGTGTTTTAAAAGTTGTAAAATTTGTTTATTTGAATATTCGAATAAATATAGATTTCACCCATCTAATATATGTATTTTAACATATCTTCAAATTTCTTAGAATTTCCTACAGTTTACTTCATTTATCAAACTTTTAGACTAAAAATCTGCTTTTTCTGAAGCAGTAAATAAATTGCTTTTAAAAATAATTTTGATAATAATTAATTCTGAAATGGGAAGAGAGACGATAAAAAGTTAAAATTAAAAAAGTTACAAAAAACAAGAGGACTACAGACTTTTTTTAGCAACATTCTTTTCAAGATATGATACAGCAAATAAATTATTTTTGATAAATGATCTTTGGAGAGAAAAAAATTAAAAGAATCATATATTAAACATACCCTAGAAGATTGGGTGCAATTTTGAAAGTGTTCTTTTTCTTTTCTTTAAAAGCGTAAGAAAGAAGTAAGTAAATCGTTCTGAACATTTATCTAGAAAGGAACAAAAAATTACTCTAAGGAACTTTTTTTTTTCTGTTGCATGATATTTTTGAAAAGATTCAAGATATTTCCGCGTCACTGATTTCAAATCTGTAATCGTTTCTCTCCACAAGCTACAGTTTTTAGGCAATTTAATAATATATTTCAAAATAATATTTCTTTAAATTCAAATGGCTGAATATTAAGTGTCCCCACTTCTCTACTGCGTATGTTGTGGTAGAACGAAAGCGATAATACATTTCAGTTACATGAAATAAGTAATCTGTTTTCCTGTTCAGCCTTATTTTAAAGGGGTAAATAAAACTATACGATAAAACTATAAAACTATACTTTATGTTAATAAAACTATACGATAAAACTATAAAACTATACTTTATGTAAATAAAACTATACGATATTTATCTTTATAAACTTACCCATTCAGAGAAAAACTGAACTAAACTCAAAAGTATCCTTTTAAGAAGAAATGTAGCTTTCGGAAAAAAAACAAATTTCAGATTCGAATTCCCCACGTCCGAATAAGATATGATCAAATACTTGTATAAATGCAACAAAAAATTGTTCCTCAGAGTAATCTATTATTACAAGTACATATTAGTAATTTTAAAATCGACATTTATATATTTTTTTTTTTAAATAAGCTAAGGACATAAGACTTATACTTAAATTAAACAATGATTTAGGCCCCTTCAAAAATGATGCCACACTTTTCTCTTTCAATATTTTCAAGCCCCTTCGCTGCTTTGTCACGAAGTCTCACACTTCACAACATCTCCCCGTTGTCACATGCGTCACATTATATTATATACTAACAATTAAGAAACAAAAGACTACGTTATAGATTATATTTCAAATTTTATTTTTAAACTTTAACTACCGTCATGTGGGGCTACTTTGTGCAAATTCGAATTTGGCACTTGTCAAGTGCTGCTATTCAGTATTATGTTTTTTTTCACGTTAAAAATTTGTGGAATTTGAAGATAGTAGTCTCCTGTATTACGATAAATATTTTTTCGAAATTTAAAACAATTTCAGACTGTGTTTTGTTTATCCAATGTCAACAACTTTCCGAGAACGTCGGACGTCGAAAGGTGTGCGAGGAAACTTTAGCTGTGAAATGCGAAGACGTTGATAAAACAATTGTCGTAAGTGCAAAATTCTTTATTTGCATATTAATAAACAATTATATCGTGTTAGAGTTAAAAAAAATTTGAAATTAATAACAAATAAATGGAAAATGAAAAAAATGCTCTGAGGGGCTACTTTGTGCAAAGTTTCATTCGTTTTTTTTTCGACCGAAAAATTGTCAGACGTTATAAAAAAAATACCTGGAACGAGAAACTACCGTGATTACACTTTAGAAAATCTGCAACAGTTTTTGCAAGCAGTTGCTAGTGGTAAGTCGATTGCAGAAGCTTCTCGGAAGTACAAAATCCGCAGAAATACTATCTCTAATAAAATTCACAAGAAACGCATGAAACGTGCTGGTAAACTATTATTTTTCTTCCACAAAGATTTTTCTAATGAATTAATCAAACGATTTAACACATAAAAGTATATTTTATAGGACATCAGGGGATTTTGACAGAAATTGAAGAGCAACTTCTGTCATGTTCATTCAGGCATGTTATGTTCAAATTTATCAATATTATAAATGTTAATGAATATGTAATAATTATTATTTTTGAAATATCATCCACTTCAATGTTCAAAAATGTATATAGTTTCATTTTGTTTAAACTCAAATGTTTTGAAATAAACATTCTTTTTAAGAAAAAATTGTTTATATAAATGGTTTTTTAACGCTGAAAATTATTTTCAAACTAATACCTTTACATATCTTGATGTTTTTGTTATTAAAAATGTCAACAATTATCTTTTTAACAATTTTATAACAATATTTTACTAAAAACATGATTATTAAACTGAATTCCTATCGCTGCACAAAGTAGCCCCATTTGGGGGCTACTTTGTGCAAGGTATGTTTTGACTTATTATTCGTAAATATTACACACAAATAATGCCAATATTGANAAATAAATTATTTTTGATAAATGATCTTTGGAGAGAAAAAAATTAAAAGAATCATATATTAAACATACCCTAGAAGATTGGGTGCAATTTTGAAAGTGTTCTTTTTCTTTTCTTTAAAAGCGTAAGAAAGAAGTAAGTAAATCGTTCTGAACATTTATCTAGAAAGGAACAAAAAATTACTCTAAGGAACTTTTTTTTTTCTGTTGCATGATATTTTTGAAAAGATTCAAGATATTTCCGCGTCACTGATTTCAAATCTGTAATCGTTTCTCTCCACAAGCTACAGTTTTTAGGCAATTTAATAATATATTTCAAAATAATATTTCTTTAAATTCAAATGGCTGAATATTAAGTGTCCCCACTTCTCTACTGCGTATGTTGTGGTAGAACGAAAGCGATAATACATTTCAGTTACATGAAATAAGTAATCTGTTTTCCTGTTCAGCCTTATTTTAAAGGGGTAAATAAAACTATACGATAAAACTATAAAACTATACTTTATGTTAATAAAACTATACGATAAAACTATAAAACTATACTTTATGTAAATAAAACTATACGATATTTATCTTTATAAACTTACCCATTCAGAGAAAAACTGAACTAAACTCAAAAGTATCCTTTTAAGAAGAAATGTAGCTTTCGGAAAAAAAACAAATTTCAGATTCGAATTCCCCACGTCCGAATAAGATATGATCAAATACTTGTATAAATGCAACAAAAAATTGTTCCTCAGAGTAATCTATTATTACAAGTACATATTAGTAATTTTAAAATCGACATTTATATATTTTTTTTTAAATAAGATGAGAATATAAAGCTTATACTTAATTTAAACAATGTTTTAGGGCCATTCAAAAATGATGTCACGCATTTCTTTTTCAATATTTTCAAGCCCCTGCGCTGCTTTGTCACGAAGTCTCACATCTCCCTATCCCCGTTGTCGCATGCGTCGCACTATATTATATACTACTAGAAATTAACACATTGCTGACCGGTCACGAGTTAACTCGTGTTTTCGTTAGCAGTGATCTCGTGGTGACTATTTTAAAACTTGCGCGCAACTTTCCTTACTTTTCAGGTTTCACTATTTAATTCTGTACCAATTTATTATAACTTTACGAAACCACCTATATTTGCAAAACCTGTGATGCACCATTATATATAGGTGATTGTTAACTTTCTATCATACGGCATTTATATTGCTTTACTTCCACATCCGCTTTCAAAACAATAGCCAGGCACATGGGGTAATTTTCAGAAAAGTTGCCGGTCAGCAATGTGTTAAGAAGCAAAACACTAGGTTATAGATTATATTTTAAATTTTATTTTTAAATTTATCTATGTTTTAATAACATTTGCGAGCATAACAGTGATAATTGTTGGATGAGTATTTTTTTAATTAAAAAGAGGAAAATAATATAATAATATATTACATAACAAAAAAATATTTCATCAGTTTATTATAAATGTTATAAGTTCAAACAAAATATGTGAAGTCGCACTACTTGTTGTCTCACACTGAAAACTGTCACAATCTTGTGAACCCCCTCCTTCTCCTTCAACCGTGGCATCATTTATGGCGGACCCGAAAATGATTGATTTATAGCTTTTTACACATTTGATTAATATCTAATCCGTACATTCATGAAAGCTCGGCCCTTACAGAATTATAAATAACATGCCACCCCCCCCCACGAGAAACGCAGCATAATTTAAGTATACTCATTTTTGAAATTACTGAAACTTAAAAATAATTATATTCTGTCCTTAATTAAACCAATTCATTAAAATAAAGCATTGAAATATATTTGAATGTCAAAATAAGCAATGCATATTCGTTGATTGTTCCTTGAAACTTATGAAGCTCTTAAACATTGATTATTGAACGTATGAACGTATTTTAAAATCGAATAAATTGTAATTAGACTATTTTCCTTTAATTTAATTGTTTCGCCTCTTACAAGGCTCCTGGTAAGCCGCAAAGCAGTTTAAAATAAAGATATATCAAAAATTGGTTTAGTTAGGATTCAAAAACCAGCTTCCTAATTTCCGACAAAAATATTCAAGTGGTAATTAAAAAAGTCAAAATTAGTTGACATTTCTTTGATTTAACAGACACTAATTTAACCGTTTTCATCTAGTGAATGTATGATTTTTAACTGTGTATTAGTGTTACCAAATTATTGTGGAAACAGTATGCAAAGTATGGGATATATATGGATATCTTTACATATATGGATTGTATATTTTTATGGATTTCTATAACTGAAACGGCGGGAAAAGGGTAATTTACATACATTAAAAAAATTATAATGTATGAATTTTTCAAACATTTATTATGATTTGTCTGACCAATCACGCTTAGTGATTGATTTGAATTAGTTGAAAAAATTTTAAGTAAAATGAAAGAAAACCAATATTTTTGTTTACGCAATTTAAAATGCTAGAATCATATTATATAATCAAGTTCTTAAGTAAAATGTAAGCAAAATCTTTTTCCCTTTTTTCTAAAATTAACGCATTATTATTTACTGGAGTGATTTTTTTTTTAAAAAATAATAAGCATATTTTGAATGAGTTTTATAAATAAAATGTAAGATCCAATTTTCAATTTAATTTAAACAATGAATTTAAAACAACTTTTTCAATGTCAGATATATTATGGAATAAATAGGAAAAATTAACTAATTAAAATATATTTGCTAGTTTAAAAAAAGAAAATAAATAAAACAAAACATATTTTCTTTGACTTTTATGAAATATCAATTTAATACATTCATATTTTTTTTAAATTTTATGATTTAATTTTCTATTTCAGCTGAAATTCCTGTTTTTTTCCTTGTTTTTTTTTTAATTCAGAATGAAATTGAACTAAATAAATATTAGTAAATTCTGCGTGATTCATTTAATAAAAAATCTAACATGTTAGTAAGAGTGATGAAATGCAATATGATTGAGTAATAAAATTTAGTGATTTCTGTGCATTAAGATTTGTTATTAGATTATATTAATTGATTTTTTTTTAAAAAA